ACTTAAAGGTGATTTTTCTCAGTTATCAGTATCACATGAAATTAAGGCATACCTAGATTAGAGATTGTCCTAAAAAATTTGTTTTGGCTTAAATTCAAGTTTTGATCCTGGAGAAATGTTGTCCACGGACGTCAGTGGGTCAATGCCTATTGCTTAAGCAGCTGCTGAGGAGCAGAGAGGCCCCCTATACAATGAAAGCTTAGTCAAACCACCCCACAAACCTGAAAGGAGTTTAAGAGCGTCATGGTTACCAGTGGCCTCGAAGACAGGGTAGGACGCAGTCAGCTGCTTTAGGATCAGAGTACTGTTCTAATAAGATCTGCTCCTTAGGGGCTGGCTTTAACGCCACCAGTTAGGTTCATGGCCTCTGAATAAATCCTTCCTCATAATTAACTATGGAACAAATGCATGCTGCATGTCACAAGATGGGGATAGGAAACAGTACAGATGTAGAGCAGCACAAATGCTTTCCTCTGGCTGGAAATGCAACCACTGATATGTGCCTCTCATAGATGGGCGACCACAGATGGACTGAAAAGGATAGTCCCATCCAACAGATGCTTCAACCCTACATTCACAGATTTTTGACCTTTGAACTGATATATGACATAAAAGTGGATTCTTTTGTACAGGTTTTAAACTTCACTTCAAACTCCAAACCGGGCTCTGGTTGGTGAATCTGTAAATTAATATTTTCTGTTAGACAGATGCTGGCCTCTCTTCAGACCTCCAGCTTGGTCCCCATTATCTGGTTTGAAGCTGACCCTACCGAAAATTATATCATATAGCTAATAGTCAAACATTTGAAACTTACTGGCACAGCTCATTCGCAAACTGTAAATTCATTCGCAGACTGTCGTTTCATGAAATCTAAATCAAGAGCATGTCGTGAGAAACATCAAACCAGTGGGTGAATCTATGCAATTGTGCAAATTATTCTGTAAGCATGGATTACAGGTAATACTCATATGTTATCAGTAACAAACAGACCAGAACCCCGCAATGAATTTAGCAGGGAAGCAGAACATGTTCAGTGTGAAGGACAGAATTTTCAAATAACCATATTTAAAAGACTTTCGATGAAAAGGATTTTTAATGACTACAAAATCATGAAAATTATGACGTAAGGTATTTTTCCAGGACTGAAAACATGTTCTCCCAAATTGAAATGACCGTGCTTTCTGCACAAGCAAATAAAGTGGTTTATGAGTTCTGAAAACTGCAACTGCAGACACGTACTTTCCAGCAGTAACAAACATCTCATCGTGGCTCCCCGAGAAGATCACTGTGGTGGCATTCCCGACACTGAGGCCAGCAGCTGGACTGCCACAGATGGCCTCTCT